CAAATAACATAAGCAAGTAACATAAGCTCTTGAGCCCATTCCTAGCAGTGCTTACTTAACCAGATGTCAAATGTACCATGTCAAAAATAAGAACAGCATTCTCAAAGGCAGGCAATGTGAGACTTTTAAAATCATAACCAGAAATTTGTAGTAACAAACTTCCCAGGGCTCTAAAAATGTGAAGTGATGTAGGACTGCATTGGAATTCTGAAATTGCCAACTGATTTGCAGGAGATTTTAAATACACACACACACACATACATATATATATGAGACCAAAATTCTATATAGTTTAAAAGTAATCTATGCCACACAGCAAGCACCTGAAGATGTGAGAATGTGGTACCCCCACCTTAAGTAGAAGGGAGAACCCAAGATTCGTAGACACTCATAGTTGAAAGGAATAGCAAAAGTTGAATGGTCTGCAAAAGCTTATAGTTTTATTAGTAATTTACACACTTGGCATAGACATTGTTATTCTACTCCCTGACCTCTCAGAATAAGCACACAGCAGTGGGTTTTGGATAGGGGGTAGGGTAAAAGGGAAGATAGAGAGATGCATTAAAGAGCATGAGAGAGAAAGAAAGGAAGAAAGAGAATAAGAGAGAACACCAGTTCTGCCTCTAGCACTGATCCAGCTGGAGCATCCAGGGTCCTGGGGTGTATACATGCCCAGGCTTTGTGGGTGTATCTTTTTATAGATATGTTTACCCTGTCCTGGAGGTAAGCTTCTCACTTTCTATGCAAATTAGTTATCATGCAGTCACTTCTTCTAGATCTTTCTGGAAATAGGTTGGAGGCTTCAAGGGTCTTTAATGGTCTTAATCCCCCACTACAATGCATGACTGTTTCTCAACTTCATTCCTGCACTTGCCCTGTACTGTTGTGCTTATCCCCAGGTGCCAGAACCTGAACATCTGTCCCACAAAAGTGCTGCTCTATGTCCATATGGCCCCATTCTCCACCCACATCCTGTCCTTTCTCACAATGTTATTACCAACAATCCTTGTTTGGCTCCATGGCTACCCAGCTGTCAGTGTTTGAAATGCACCCATTTTAATCCCTTATCTTTTAGACTTCTACAGAGAACCCACTCTCCAATTTGGCTACTGATCCTTCTTCGATGATGTGGAGCAATGTTAACTGTCACATGAATGCAAAGTGCTTTGTGAGCCTGGATTCTGCAAGAACTCATGAATATGTGAACCCCATCCTGCTCCGTTTGTATCAGGCTCAGCCCAATGAAAAATGTTACTATGTACTGAGGCACCCATATTTCAAACAGCTGTATCTTGTGCACCTAAATGCTTGTCCTGATAAAATTAAAAGCCAAAATCCTTGTACAGAGTCAAAGATTTCCAAAGAAGCTCATGGGCTGTGCTCTGATATTCTGAAACCTACTTTTGAAAAACTTTACTGTAGAATACTGAAGTATTTATGACTTCCTCCACTTTTCCTTTTTGAAAGGTGAAACTGAAAAGTTGGTCATAGTGGAGCTGCATCTATGCAGAGATTAGATTAACTACCGCTCCTTTGATTTCCTATAAATTGCATTTAATGCATTAAATACAACTTGTAAAAGTAAATAAACAAATTATCACAGAAACACATACACCAAAAGCTATTTAATAACATTTCATTGTATCTCTTATTAAGTGTTTCATGGAACATGTCTAACACCTTAAAATGTAGTACTAAGCATGCCTACATATTTCACAGAAATATAGACAACACACCTCTAAAATGAAAGAAGGCAAATTTGATAAATGCAATATTATTAGCATAAGCTGAGTTAGCTCAGCACTTACAACAGTAATGAAACTGGCCCTTTGCAATTTAACTGTGTAACACCAACTACAGCTGAAGAAAACATAGTTCATTAATTTATTTTCTAAAGAATAAAAAGAAATCATTGATGTCTCTACCTATGAACCCATTCTGAGATCAGTGGTATGAGAAATGGGCAGTTTTCCATCTCTGCACTCTTGTCCACTGCCTCAATACACCACCTTTTCAATTTGACTGACACAGCAGGGACATGCCTCTACTTGGACTGTAGCAGCATTAGAGAGGAAAAAGGAGGTAGGAGGAAAGAGATTCTGTATCTCAGAAGCACCCAGATACAATGGAAGCCCATTTACCAGGTGATATAGAACCAAATTTTCAAAGTCATACATGTGTGTAAAAGACCTAGACAGGCATTGCCCCAGAGATATTTCTCCAAGGCACCAACATGAAATAGAAGACAAAACAGCTCAGAATTCAAAGTTAGTTATTCTGGCTATTGGTTGGTAATGCACTGCAACAACTGCACTCAAGAGATTATTGTGATCTCCTAATTGCACAAATGGATTCATTACTTCAAGTTTCTGCATAAAGGACCCCAAAGCAGGTACTTCAACTATTTGTAAAATTTCGTCACTAAATCCAACATCACATTCACTTCTGCAACTCACTGAAATGTCTGCAGTGTCATGCAGAGCTGTAAAATACATTAACATTTGGCAGCAGAAACTATGAATCACCTTCACAGGCTCAACTGTGGCCCACTGAAAAAAGTCAGTATTTCTTGAAGATATTATTAAAATATTCAGCTGACTGAGCAAGTTTCATATTTTCACCCTTCTATACTACTCAGTGTTGCAGTAATAATTGAGAAAAATAATTACAGTGTCAGTAGTTTTATCTTTCTAATTTTCATATCAGAAAAATTCTGAAAGGAAATTAATTACCTTGCCCTTGTCTGGACTGATTTGTCTGATTTTTTTTCTTCCCACTAGTAACATGTTTATAATCTTTATAAGGATGCTTCTCTTCTGGAGTCACACTGCAACAACACATAGAACAGCTAAGACTGAAGACGATGTTTCGAGAAGACCTCTTCCTCCAGATTAAAGGTGGACTGACCTGAGATGTTTTCACTTTTCATCATTGTCCTTATGTCAGCAATAAATGTGCCAAAGTTCACACAAACTCCTGCTAATCCAATTTAAAATGAGCCAGCTTAAAACTGAGTGAGACAATTAGCCAGTGCTACCAGAAGAATGTATCAGTAAAGCATCTTAAACCACATCTTCTATTTTAAAATTGAATTTGTCCACACCTCTACTTTAGCAGAGATGTGCCTCATGCTGCCAGACCACATTTCAGAGGAGGTACCTAGGTCATTTTAGTTCAAGTGAGTTGCTCAAATTATATCAGTGTAGTTAATGTATTACAAAGTGGCAAAGATAAAAATAAGAAAATACTTCATGCGAAAACCAAGCAGTTTGGTAGTTTAAACAGAAACTGTGAAAAACAGAACTGTATTTGCAAATCTAGAATTAAAAGCAGCCACAACAAGCTATTTTTGTTCTTAAAAAATAAAATGTCCAAACAGATTATTCAAAGAAAAAAAATCTCTGATTTCTGTCTCAAATTCATCTTTTGTCACCTAGTGACTGAGGACAGAATACCTATTTCATTAATATCTACTTATAGTCCTCAAAAAAACCCCAGAATTTTGACCACCAGAATTAAAATTCTCAAATTCAAGAGCAATAACAGCAAAGAGTATGTTTCTCTGTCTTGTTGCTGTTATTAATTAAGTCCCATTTGGTGCTCCTGAATTGCTGTTATTTAGTTGCACTGGATGGGTGTATAGAAAGTAATAGAAGATGGATCAACAGCTGTAGTTATTATGAAAATTATGGCAGCGCATGAGAGGAATTGCAACTGCTCAATTCATGCAAATAAGAGCTACTTGACAATGCCTATAATTACACAGCATGTCAAAACAGCATAGCTGGAGTGTAAGTAGAGACTACATATTTTAGAAAGCCAAAAGATTTCCATTTCATTATATTCCCATTCCCTAAACGCCTATTTAGAGATAACAAGAAACACTTTCTGTCGACAGGCTCACAGATACAGAAAGGTCTGCTGAGTCTCCCAGGTGCATTCTCCTGCCAGCACTACAGCTGTCAAACACAGAGCCTCTCTGCTGTTTCCCAAGCATTTGTAACACAGCCTGGACTCACATCACAGCTGGGCCTTCAGCTCACTGTGTGCTGAGCAGATATGAAGAAAGATTCAGCCACATCTACTTTCAAAGCAAAGGTAGATTGCTTCCAAGTGGCTCAGACAATGCAGATACCATCTCTTCTATCCAAAGCCTGTTCCTGATACCTGGAACAGCACTGTAATATTCTAGTTTACTTTACTTTTGAGTGTACCTTCTTTCAGATTGTTTGGGGCAATTCTGTTCCCACTTCAGGCACTAAGACCTCTTCAAGAGCATATCTCCTTTTCTTACACGTAAACTTCACTAAAAGCTCCTCATTTTCAGAGATGCTGCCCACTGTGCTTATCCTGCTACATCTGTAGGCTGCTTGCACATTAGCAATGATTTATATAAAGTGACATTTTATTACTTTAGTGTCTTCCCATTCCTGTTCTGCCTGTTTAACTAAAGCCCTCTTCTTTTTTTGCCTGTTGTTTCATGCTAGGAAATCCCTGCACCTGCAATGGAAAAAAAAAACCAAACCAGAGATAAATCGTCATTTGTTTTCCTCTGCACCTCAAACTCTTGTTTCAACAGCTGTGCAGCACAAAATTATGTTACAAATAATAAATCCAGAACAAGAAACACAAGAGTAATGAAGAGATTTATTTATTTATTTTTACTGATGACATTCACATAAAGAGAAACAGGGAGATACACAATTTTGCAGCCCTCCTACCTATCACTCAGGGGTGAGCTGCACCCACTTGGTGTACAACACAGTCAGTTACTAATGTTCGCTACTGCTCTTGTTTTACACAATGATTCAAACCACATAACCTGGCAGAAACCACAACTTTTCTTTTCCTGTGAAGTCTGATGACAAAAATCTAATTGCAAATGCCTTGGAATCGAGGAACGTGACTCCTGGTAGAATTGGTACCTCAAGCTTCTAATGTTTCAGTTGGACAATGATTAAATCACTGACCCAATACAACAGCTACACAACTTGTCTTACCTGAAATCACATGCTGTGGTAAGTTCTGCTCCTCCTCCAAAAGCTTTTCCTTGAACTAGTGCAACACTGATCAAAGGCAACCTACACAAGAGACTTTAGTAAGCAAAAGTCATGCTTCTATCCTTTCAGAAATTACAAAACAATTCTACCAAGCCATTTCTATTGCGAAAGTTGAGAAAAATATATGTTTCCAATTTATTCAAATAACTACATATTTGTGGGCAATCACCACAGTATCAATTCTACTTATGTCAAAATTACTATTGCATAGTTGATACAGAATCCCAAAATGAAACAGCAAGATGGATATTTTAAATGGAATCAAAATAAATATCATGTACTGAAAAATGTGTTATGAAAAATACCTGCTATAGAATATACCTAAAAAGGCAAGGAGTGACAAGATAGCAACGTAAGATTCTACTCTAAGCCAGTACACCACAGAAAGAAGCAGAAAGAGACACAAAGAACTGAAGGGCTGTGTTAGCTAAAATTAATGAGATTTACCATGACAGCTTCAGCAGCTTCTTCAAACAGAGTGCTACTATCTCAGTCATCAACAAAACTTTTTTTGCAGACAAAACCTTTTGAGGAAAGCAGCAATCTGTTACCTTTGTTGGTGTTGTATTTAATCATGTTCAAGGTATTTAATCATGTTCAAGGTAATTCTAAGGACAGAGGGAAGGAAGAGTATGTTTCCCCACTGCTGATGTGAAATGAATACTAATGAATAGTGATTTAGGATAAGGCAAGTTTCCTAAGAAATGAAGACAGCTGGTTAGTCATAGAATTTTCACACTAATACAGCTGTTTCATCTTTTACTATGAAGAGATTTTGAGCAGTTTACAAACCATTCAGAAGTCAGCATCCTAATCATAGCCACATGTCTGGTTTTAGTTCACCATTAACAGAAGCACCAACACTTTCTTACAGCCTAAGTTAACTTACAAACTGCAGCACAGTTTATACAATACATGGCACAAGAGAACCCACTAGAAGAGGGAAATTTTTTTCTGTGGTTTATGAGAAACTAGAAGATGTGGGTCCAAGATGGCTACATCCACACTGAAATCCATTTGAGGCACCTGTTTCAGGATCACAGTCAGCCTCAGCTCTGAGGGAGACTAATCCCATCTACAACAGATGTCCCCAGACAGCAGCTCAGCACTCCCTCTGAACCACGGCTTAAAGACATGCTAAGTCTACACACCTGAGGTGGGGGCTTAATCTTCACACATCTTCCTCCTCTTAGCTTTGCCCCATCAATTTTGATTATATGGAGACCAGCTTATGCAAATGGTTCCAATCCCAATGATTCCTTACAGTACTACTAATGTATGTCTCCAATCTCCTGGGTAATTTTACAGAAAAAATGTTAATTCATAACATTTTCTCATATAGATTATTTGAAAACAAAGAATATTTGAAAACAAAGAGTATTCATCTTCAAAGAGCTCTGAGCAGAAAAACACTGACTCTAGCACAAATGGATTTAATAGAAACGTGACTTCTCAAGAGAAGCCAAGTCTAAAGGAAAGGGTGTTTTTTCAGAAGCATCAGATGGTAAAATTAACAACACTCCTCTTCTGAAGTGGGAAGATTAAATAAATATATCAAATAAACGTTACCTATGTAGGCTGCATAACCTGTTGCTGCTTGTTATTTAAGAGCTACTGACTTCCACTGAGTTAGAGAGGTCGAGTTTCAGAAAATTTGAAGGCCCAGACTTCCTTAGCTCTGGGTATCTCCTAGCTCTACACATCTACACATATAAGCCTAGGGTTTTGTGTTTTTTTTCCTGTTCCAATCTCTGGAAAGCAAAATGTTAAGGTCTAATTTACATCCATAAATATCTACCTGATTAACATGTGTGAATAGAAGGTCTGGGATCCAAAATTACATACACAAAATTATGTATTTAAACATCTTATTAAAGAATTAACCAAAATACATTCTGATACTTATAATTACTTCATAAATGGGTAAATAAAATATATTACCTCATAAGTCTGGTTAAGGTGTTTTGCATAAACATGCACATATTCATCCCATCCTACAATGAATAGGAAATGAAAAAATGTTAAGTGATCTTAATGTGAAGCAATCAAACACAGATGGAGTAGACAGGAGTAAGCATTCTTTATATTTACTTCAGCTGGGTTTTGAGTCCTTGGTTCATGCTGCCCAACTTGCACCCCAACCCCACTATGCACAAATAGAAAACCTAGTATAAATCAGGTCAAAAAAAAAAAAAGTCAGAACTCAATTGACTTATATAAATTTCAATTATAATTAAGCCACTGCTAAAGTAATTGCAATATTGAATTTCTGTGTCGTAAAATTTTAGTGTTTCCTCTTAATTTCCTCTTCTCACTTCAAGTTGAACAACCATAAATCTGAGTTTTTAAATTGTGTACAAAGCCATAGTGTGCTACATACTTTTTACTGTCCCAAATCCATAAAGTTTTAGACATGATATAATTTATCAATTTAATCTTTTATTGTTTGGGCCAAAAGCATTTCAGTAAAAAAAAAACCAAACACCAAAAACCACCAAATTGCAAAACAAATAAAAAAACAAACCAGAAAGAAGATTTTTCTTATCTGTCTCATCCTTTATGTTTTACATCTCCTTGTAATCAACAGTGAAAAATATACAACTGTTTCCTTCTAATCTAGTACAAGAACTAAAGGGTTCCAGATAAAATACATTCAACTAATATTTGTTCCTACAATGTGTAGTTAAAATGTGGAATGCTTGGCACAGGGCATTACACCCTTTACACAAATTCAAGAACATAAACTCGCAACAGGAAGAGCAATAAAAGGTTATTACATATAGAAAGCAACACCTCTAGCTCTAGAAATCTTAGTCACAAACTGCTGGGGGCTAAGAAAATATTTTGAGACAAAATCATTATCTTCCTTCCCTGTTAATATCCTTTTTCTCAGACATCTAGAATTAACCAGGAACTTGACAAATAACTGGGCTAAATGGTCCAGAACCACCATGTTCATATACATACTGAATTGAACCACACATATTATTTATCCCAAATTAAAGGAAAAAAAATATGTTTGGACACCATAGAAATAAAAAACTAGTAGGTAAAAATTTCAGCACATCTTTCAAATAATAAAGAAAATAAAGCCAAACAGACCAAATCCAAATAAACCAAACCTCTCATTACCAGAATTTACTAATTTCTGAAATACATTTTTACAGAAGTTGGCAAGTTAGAGAATCTGCCTGAATTAAAAGCCTCTGACTCATACCTCAGGGAATGAAAAGATATGCATTAAGTCTCCAATACATCTTTGGAAAAGGACCTTGAAATAACAGCAGGCCAATTTCAGGTGATTTATTGTCCATTTAGTAATGTATTTCCAAGAGCTACTCTGCCCAATGACAACCAGCATTATGATGTTTAGGCACAGATCTCTGGCAGATGTGAGTGCCATGACAACTGCTACACAAAAACCAGTGTATTTAGTTTTACTACACTAAAGGGCTGCTTGAAAATTTTAGCACATGTTGATTTATAAAGAGGCTTTTAGTTATCACTGTAGCCATCTCCTGCACACTCTAAGAACAGTAGCAATATTTCCATTCCAAGTTAAAGAACATTCAAACCTTTCATGATAGCTGCCTTAGTAGCTAAGTTCAAAGCCCACACAAAGATACAAGATACCAGCTCTCAGACACAGACTTGCACAATTCCCATATTACAACCTTCAGGCTGTAAGCTGAATTACATGCTTCAAGATGAAGTTGCACAAAAGCTCTTCAGAGAACATGATTTTTCACTTCACCACACCAGAATCCTTGCATTCAAACTGGACTTCTCAATTCACGACAAAATCCAAAATGATAATTAAAGATTCATTCCAGAACAGATAAACTTGAAAAACCAATTTATGTCTGAGCAGATAAAAAGAAAAGTCTTCATTCTCTCAGGTGGTAGAGAGATTACTGTGGAAAAAATGCCTGCACAGAAAACAGTCAAAAAAAAAAAAAAAAAAAGCAATTGCTTGAGTCCTGGAAAGTAATAAACCCTTCAAACCTTCCTGACAAGAAAAATAAGGCTATTATTCAGATAAAAGACTCTAAGAGGTGTTCTCTACAGTCTAGTAGAATAATTATATCTGCAGCTCTAATATTGTTCTTGAAGTAAGAAGACCTCTAACTAGCAGAAAGGGAGATAAAATGCAGTAAAATGCACAACATATGGAAGGAAACAGCTTGGAGTGGGCCTAGGAGAGGCAGGGAAGAAGAAAGTCACCTTCATAAAGTAGAAGACTCTAATGCTGCCTCTTATTGCCACAAGACCTTCAAATCCATTTTCACTGCTGATAGAACGATAATTCCAGATTATCTCCAACTGCTCCAAAGTCCTCCCTCCATGGCTTATGCTTGGGAACCTCTGTTCTAGGACTTCTAGACAGGGATCAAGGAAAGCAAAATTCTCCTTTGTGCTTCTTCCTCTGAACTGTTGTTTCAAGAGCTAGTCTTGCTTTTCAGCTAGGCAACTTTTCAAGTCTCACTCCAGAATGAGGTTCTCGCTCTAGGAACAGATTACAAAGCCTTACAAAGACAGAAGGAAAAATATTTTTTTATTTAAATTCCACTACTTATTTACCTTCTGTGATTTGGTTATGTAATGTTAGCACTCAGAAAAGAAAAACAGGCAGGGGACCTAGGTTTGCTTCAGAGTTAGGAACAACTGAACATGGGACAAGATGGACAAAAGAGGAAAAGAATGAAGTGGAAGAGGAGGACTAAGGGCCACTAGGGGGCAAGAAAATCCTTCAACATTCCTGGCCATTATTCTGCCTATTCTGCACCACAGGGAAAAGCAAAATGTACTGAAAATTATGAAAAATACAGTACTCCATCAACCAACTGGTTGGATAAAAGTGTTTTCTGCAATTACTAAAAGCAATGGGCTAAAGAAGTCTTTAAAAATAAATTAAGGACAGTTCAGTTATTTGAGCATGGTGCTAATAATGACAAGATTATGGGTTCAATCTGTTCACTTAAAAGTTGGACTTTATCATCCCTGTGGGACTCCTTCCAACTCAGAATATTCTATGATACTGTGAAAGACATACCCCTTCAGGCATAAAGTTATTCACTTTAGGGTTTTTTCTGCCTTGAAGATGCCTGTGGACAGAAAACTTAACCTGAAACCAGACAAAGCATTCTCATCTCCATCAAGTTAGAGCGAAGAGTTCTGTAAGACTGAAGAACAGAAAATGCTCTTACATATTCTAGTAAAGATTTATTTAATAAAGACTATTAAATCCCACCAAACAGATTGTTTAGAAGCTATTATAAAGAAACTCTCAGTAAAAGACAAATAGCTTGAACTCTCCAAAGGAAGTAGAAAAGCAACTACGTTTAACTATTCTTGGAGCATTCCTGGTGACTCTTAGGCTTTAATTTCAATACTAACATGAGATCTAGATTCTCTGCAGAGAATTCCCAAAGTTATAACTAACATGTATACATTTCATTCCGCCCAGTATATCTGTTATTGAACCTAATCCTTGCAAGAGCCCTCTGCCACTGCAGTGGCTCAAAGTAATTTGTATAAGCATAGAGAGAGAATACAAAATACATGGAAGCAGAATCACTGAGATTTACAGAACTCTGAAGGAAAGCCTGGACTGCAAATAAGAAAAGAAATGACCTTGTTTGGCTTCAGCTCCTTTTCTGTTGATATAATGCTCAAAGAAGTTGAGAATGGCAGATTAAATTTTTTTTTTTTAAAAATTAATTTAGAAAAAATTTCATATGCATCTATACTTTTAGAATTACCAGTGCTTATAATATATCCAGATGAAAACTTCCCCCAAGTCCATTTAGATATAAAGCATGACATTTCCGTATTAAGAAAAGCACCTCTCTTGTGAGGGTCCAGAAAGGAAAGAAAGAGTCCTATACCCTTTGAAAACTGCACTGTCCTATGTATTTTACCAGGCCACAAATAAAATCTAAGATATTGTGGGGTTTATGATATTTAGTTTCATCAACAGGAAAAAAAAATCATCACTGAAGACAAATATCAGATTATCCAGTTTTTGTGTTGATGCTCATACTGGAAGGGCAAATTAAATGTTTCATTTACATAATTAAATCCTGAAACTTGCAGTGGCCACAAAAAAAGCACCAGGATTGGCACTTACCACAATTTCAAACTAGGTATAAGAGCAGCACAGGCAGCTTCCCTGGCAGCTGGCAAAGCCCTATTTCACACATTGCCAAGTCCATGTATTAGTCCACAGAAAGAACTTTAGCACACATGAAAGTTGTCCAAATGAGTGGCATGAGCAAAAAATTGCCATCAAACCCCAACTTCTTCAATTTCATAGGTACACACAAGACTCACATGACTCAAGTACAGCACAAAAATTGCATCTGTTCTTCCATTTCATGCAGGTTCAAACAGTTTTGATAAAATTTCTGTAATAGCAGCCATGCTACTTAAATTTCTGTTTTTATTTTAGAATATAAGAAATTATTACTTTTATCTGTTTCTAAAGGTCAAACTACAGAAGCACATTTTATCTGATGTGTAAATTCACCATATACTGCTGTGAGAAACTGAAATGACATTTTTAAAAGAAAGGCTAAGGAAGCACATATAGTGTAGGAATTTAGAGTTATGAATCACTTACAATAACACTTAAATCATGGCTTGAAAGGACTGACAACATTTTTTTGACCATTAAAGCTCCATTCTGTGACTTGTATGTAAAATTGCAGAAGTGTAGTGCAACACCTCTGTCTAAAAAGAATCTCAAAAAACTAATTTTTCTCCAAAACCTTAATGTGTACTAATACTTGCCTGGGAGTTGGATATTTCTTTGACAGCATTCAAATCAGATCCTGAGCAAAAAGTGTTTCCTGCACCATGGATTATAAGACCTTTGCCATCCTTCCAGTTTTCCAGTTCAGTTACCCTCTCCTGGAGTTCTACCATCATAGTACCTGCCACAAGAGGGGAGAAACAAAATTTTTAATGGGAAATAATTACCACCATAATGTTTTCCACCAGCAAAACCAAGTTAGAGTAAATAAGTGATTGTCTTAAAATCACAAGGGAAAGCATCATCTTAAATCCTGCACACAATCACCAACACACATTTGTTCTCCAAGGATGCACATCCCAAAATTCCAAGGGATATTCTGTATGAAGGATATTTGTGTTACACTCAAAAAAGCCTCAAAACAAAACAAAACAAACAAACAAAACCCTCTACCTGATTTATTTCTACCTGCAATTGCATACATTCAGGACAGCTAAATTTATATGTATCCATCCAGATCTGTCCAACTAGTCATTTTGAAATTACTGACATTCCTCCCTGCCCAAACAATTGGCAGAGAATGAAAATAATCATGTCCAAGGTGGGCTCAAGGTGCAACCGGTCAATGTTAACAAAGGCTCCTTTCTAAAGACTCTCATTATAAATATTATCATCATAGAGTACTAGCTTTTTACTTCTTGTTTAAACAACTAATTCATGATAAAACATGATAAATATATTTGCTTAAGTACCCTTCCTGACATGGAACTCAATAAACTCCTCATCTGGGACAGCAGCATCTTCCACAGCAATGGAACATACATGTATTAATTTAAAGCTCTTCCTGTCTGAATGCCTGTGACCTGTCTCTTATTCTCTTAATATACTTAAGAGAATATTTACAGAAACTAATTTACAGAAACTGATTTCAGAAAGCAAGGTACATACAGGCTGATGACATTCCCAGCTTTACCCTTCTTTGACAAAAATTTAGATGGACAGGCCTACATTCTTCAGATAGAAATGTGCTTTTGATTAATACTCTCAAGGACTCTCTCCTCTGCCAACAGTGTTACTTTTTTAGCTCTACGCCTGCATGCTCAGGACTCATCCTCTTCTGAAATTTCCCATTAGCAGCCAATCCATGGGACATTTATGTTTTCTACCTGTTTGTTTTTATTTTCTTACAGTTAATTATGAAGTAAGCTTCCCAGTACCACATTAAGAGTGAACACTCAGTCAAGCACTTACCCCTTAGGCTTGGTCTCAGCCACTGAATTAACACAGTTTGACAATGTTTCTGTTCCAGTCAATAATTAAGTGGACATTACATATTATATACCAGAATAGCATTGGGTTATTTTATTTTTTTACCCACTGTCAAGTCTACACCATGATCCTCTAAAAAATCCCAGCAGTTCTGCCAGTTGCGTTCCCTTCTGTATTTATAATTTGGTCATGTTTTTTGTATGTGGCACATTACATTTGCTTTCACTGAATTTCACCCTGTTGATCTTGAGCTCTTTGTAGCAGCTAATCAAGATCACTTTGAATGCCTCTCTTCTACTCCAAAAAATATTCTTGAAAGATCTCCTAATGTGGGGTCATCTGATAATTTCAGCAGTTCATCTTCTGTTTCATCATCCAAGCCAGGAATAAAAATACTGAGCAGAACTAGGCCTGGATGCGATTTTTGTGGGTCTTCATTTGAAATGCTTTTCCAGCCCGACAGCATATTCAGCAACTCTTTCTGCAAGCACTGCAGTTCAAACAGGTGTGCATTAACCCTGTGGATTTCACTTACTACACATCTGCCTTCTTAAGTCTTCTTTACAGAGAGGTGTTTGAGATGGCATCCAATCTTTGCTGGAGTCAAATACAGCAGAACCACTGTTTGTGGTTCTCTTAATAGGCAAAGCAGTGAGGTATTGAAGAGCATTCAAAGCCAAATATTCAGTTAACTGAAAAAATGCAGGATCCATATGAGCCTGTTACATGCAATAGCAGGGGACAAGAGACACTGGCCTGGTTCTATCCTCTGCAAGAGGCTCTTTTCCGTTCCTGACAACACTGAACTATTATTTACCAACAGACATAGCTCCTGATGTTTGATATAATGAAGAGGGCACAACACTAAAGCAAATCCTCATTCTGCCAATCTTATTTCAGTATTTAATACCACTAAGTTCATGCTCTTTACAAAATTAATAATAAATAATAATTTGTTTGCATCTTAACTATCATCTGAGAATAAATGTTTTCAAGTAAATTCTAGAAAACAAAAATTATCATCATTATTTTCTAATTTCTACAGGCTAGCTTTCTTCTCTTTCAAACTACATTCAAGTTTAATTCAGTGAGAGGTTGGGTTGCTGAAACTGGTTCTACCAGGCTTTAACTGACATTGTTAGCATTTGTTTCCAAAGGGACTATTTCAAACAGGTGGCCATCAGATTCCAATTAAGAAGAGAAAAAAGGCATAATAATCTCCATATCGCCCATTAGCAATTTGCCAACAATTTTGTTCTGTTTTTGATTTCATGAGTTGCTCAAGCTTAGAATAAACATAATTCCTTTGAGATAAAAAACTGCTGTGTAAAGCAAATGCCTGGAAAATAGAATTTCTCTCAATAGTTTAATAATGTTTTGCAGCTTTCTAGAGGGAATGTGCATGGATATATAAATTCACATCTGCCGCTATTCAGAAGCTATGAAACACAGAATCAACAGAATTTGATGGGGAGGTCGCTGAATCTACCGGCTCTGGCTGGTGAAGTCAACGAGGTTCTGCTGAGGCAATTCAAGGCTAGCACACCCCATCCTGCCCCTTGAAGAGCATTATTTGATACAACACTGTAAAGGCAAGGGACTAAGTTCCTGATAGTTTCTCAGCAACTGCATTTCACAGACAATTATGTTAAAAATTAAATTAAGATCAGTATAAATTAAGATGACATACCATTCACTGCAGTAGAGAAGGGGCCAGACTGATTTTGCTTCTACGCTGCCTCCCATAAAAACAAAAGTCTCTAGCAGAGGTGTAGAGCACAAAGAAGAAGCATCTCTTGAACTGACAGTAAGATTTTCCAGAGAAGTTCTTTGTGGCTATTGCCTAGCAAAATGGTGTACAGCTCTCTACAGGGCTCTACAGACTGCTGTAAAACAGAACTGCCTGATCCCACGGCTCATTTGTTATACGCTAATGAGGATCCACAACAAAGACAGAGCTATTAATTTCCTCAGTGGATTTTGTGGCTCCTCTTTGCTACTGGAGCATCTAATTGACATACACTAATAAGTTATTTTCACAGCAGCCCTGTAAGGAGAGAAGAGATTATTTTACAGATAACTAATTGAGCCAGAGAGAAAATGTCTGCTAATTTTGGATGCACGACTCCAGATGTGTGATATGATTTCAGCACTTTAACATTACAAAGAACACTGTACAGGCAAAGAACAGCTATCAGTTGCCTAAATGACAGGTGCATCTGCTCAGCACTGCCACCAATCACTTCTGAGCCTCTCCTGCCAAACATATAGATAACAGAGAACATATTTGCAAGTTTCTATGGAAGTTTGGTTTAAGCAATTTGACTTTTATTACTCCTGATCTTCAAAGAGCAGAAAAACCCAGTGTGCTATCTCCTTTTGGTGTTACAGCTCATTTCTCATGCCCCTTTCAACTTCCACAACAAATATGCTAAAAGCACATAGTCTGCAAGGTGTACATTGCACAGTTCCATTTTGAATCAAAAACATAAAACAATCTAGAAACAGGAGAAACAACACTGTAATTATGTTTGTATAACAGCACGTATGCTTACAGGGAGGCATGCAGAAGGACAATCCCTATGCTAACATTTTTTAGCTACAACTTCCTAAGTTAGGTAATGCTTCCATACATGAGATTTTTAAGCAAAAAAAAGAGAGAATGCAGAAACATGTAGGTGCATTACCACCAGTTCTGCTGCTCACTTCGGTTCCTTTCAGCTAACAATCACTAGTGGAAAAAGCAGATTGACATTCTGCATATAAAGGGCATACTTTGTTGCAAAATGTTTGCTCACAACAAAGGAACAGTGAGAAACTGGGCAGGAAGACAGAACAGCAACAAAGAAATTGGCAAGATGACACAAAAGTATCCATTTCAAAATATTAACATATAAAAACATTCTTACACTAAAGGCTTATGCATGGCTCCAGTTCAGGTAGATTCACACCATGAACCTGAGCCAATTCATATCTGAAGAGAATGGCATCAATTGGAATAATCTAGATAATTAAGAAGAGACAGCAAATATACTCAACTTGGAGAACAAAAATCTCTCATAATACAAAATTAATAAAATAGGGCACTTGGTTTTGATAGCTAAGTATTCTCCGGTGTAAAAGCATATTAAACAAATCACTGACCTGCAGAAGCTGAGAATACCCAGCTCATCTGATCTTTAATTAACCATTCACTGATATTTATGACATAAGGCAAATGAAGAAGAAATGGAAGACAGTTTGGGTGAGCGAAAAACACCAAATTACAGAAGTTTAATGTACAGGGAAGGCTTTAGGTAAAGAAACAGGAAGCAAACTCAATCTTTCTACATCACCTACAAAAGAGAGGTGGCATCTTCTCAAGCCCATAAAAATGCCTTCCATATTTCCAGAGCAGTGATGACAAAATGAGAGGAGATGCAAGAAAGAGCTCAGTGGCAGAACTGTGCCAACACTTAACACAGGGAGAAGCACATTCTGCAAGACAGTCCCTGAGTCATTGAGAATTTCTTAGATTCTTATTACATTTATAGCAAAGTTACAATGCAAAACACTGGACACATTTGCTGCACATCTGAATAAAACTTACACATTTGTTCTTTTAACTCAGGCATGGTAAGGCAGAGTACTTCACTTTCTTAGACAAAATATCTAAACAGGTAACTGAAAAAGAGAAAAACCAAAACCAACCATCAATCCCATCAACTAATTAGTACCTGTAAAGGCATTCATTAGCTTTGGGTTATTCAAAGTAAGTATTCCAATGCCATTGTCCTCTTTGGAAAGGTTGATGGATCCACCAGAAAACTGTTGAAGTTTCTTCTTTATCAATTCTTCTTCATAGCCATCAGCACCATTATACAGTGACAACCTTCTCTGTTGTAGTATTCTTTTCTTTGTAGTCTGAACTAAGTTCTTCCAGAGAGGAAGGGCCATTTCTGGAAACACATGGGGTGAGGAGAAAAAAAAATTCAAGAGATTTCCTTTGAAATCCATTTCAGTCCTCTGAGAAACAGGGAATTATGACAGCAGAAACTAATATAAATGTAATACAATCGTATCAGCTGACTGAAATTACTGCAAGCTATATTTTCAAAATTCTTAGTTTGATTCTACCCCCACAAAGTTACCAGAAGTTTTATGGAGTGATTTTAGTAGTTAAGCCAGATATTAGCACCTTTTAAAACACTTATTTGTAAAATTTACCAAAAAAGTATTTGTGTGCAGAACACAAAAGAGGCTCAAAAAACTACGGTAAGACTCCTATGTATTCCACTAGACCAATTTACTCTGTATTAATTTTCTAAACCCTCCCTCACTCTTCTCTCTTAAAAAATTCCAAGATCCTCAGCTAAAATGGAGGAAAAATTCTATCACGTCCCACAGCTTTCATGATCTGGATGTCCTGCTTTTCTGTAAGCAACTATTAGAGCAAGACCTTCCCAAAAGAAACACTTGAGGAACATAAAAATTAAGAACTGAAGATCATTCTTATATCGAAGTCTGCTCCCCATCACCTAATCCCATTAACACAGTTGTCAGACCCCATCTTAAAACTAATTAGTTTGCCTAGCCCCTGAATGCTAGGTGCTTTTCCCAGTCATCCCAGTGGCACTTTGAGTTGACCTCATTTGAGCACAGAATCTGTGCAGTACTCCAAAGGATGCAAAGTGTACAACATTATTATGCATTGATTTATTTATATATTTGCCTTTTATAAAGGTAGTAATACTTGGAAACTATTTCTGTATACCAGTATACCCATGGCTTATTCCTCTGCTATTTCCATTCTACAGTGTATGACTGTAGATCAAGAAATAACAAGTAAGTAATTATCATATATTACACTTGATCTGCATCTCTGCCTTAATTTATTTACTTTGGAAATGGGTCTATTGGAGAAAGTGGTTTACAAATTACTTTAAAGAAACTGAGTAAAGCCTGAACTGGAAAGAGCTGTTCTGGAAATAAAGTCATCTCAGAAACCAATCAGAATGATTGAATCAAAAGAACCCCCACAGGACGTGGAAAAAAAAATGCTTGCTAATTTGCAATTTGATATAGTCCTACCTTTTCCCCAACCTACTTTTTAATGGGCTTGGCCATTCAGAAGACATGGTAGATGCTCATTTTGTTGACAGCTGGGAAAAGATTGTTTTGTTTCTGCATCATATTTGGCAGAAACAAGATACTTGAAAAATTGGAAAGCAGCTGTTGGAAAGTTTTTCTAAGGTGAACTCAAAACATAAACACATTCATTGAGACAGACTTTGGTGACAGCTATATTGTGTGCTCTGTTATCTTACAGTTTACAGACTCAACATTTTTGAAAACCTTTATTATTTACATATGATCAAGTAAATGCACATTAAAAACAACACACAATTAGCTCCTAATGAAACAAGTGAACAGCCCTGTCAAGTGAATACTTATGTTACCAGCTGTACCATCCTACACTCAACTTGAAAATGCTTCTGTTGGTGCAGGCATAGTCCTCATGCAAAGGGAGGAGGAGTTTGCAGAGCAACCACACTGTGGGATGTGAAGGAACATGCAGCAATACCAGGCAATTGTGAAGAGCCATTTATGCCAGTAGATCCATACCTGTCCTGCCAACTGCACCCACCAAAACAACAGGATCTCACAAGCTCAACACAAAGAAATTAGTAAGGCCTACACAAATCTATGCATTATAAAATCATCTACACAAGAAATTGTAAAGGGACGTTTTTTTAATATCTGCTGACAAACAAGGCATGCTAATCTGTCATGATGAACTTTTCCAAAGTGTAAACTAATAAAACTAATTACAAAATTTAATCAAGTTTAAAATCTAATTGAACACAAGAGTCATTACTTCATAAAAAACATTCCCTGACTGGTGCTGCACACAAACACTCTCCATCTATGCACATTCTAATAGTCTGCAACACTTCAGCTACCACCTTTCAGAGCTTTTAAAAATTTTATTTAAAGAGTGAAAATGGGTTTCTAAAGCTCATTTCTCCTAATTGATTCTTTTTATATTCAGGCTCTCAAGAAAGAGACCGCCTTCCCTTTTTTCTAAAACCTCAGTAGTTATTCCTCAGCATATATTAATGCAATAAAACTTTCCATCCAGCTACTAGTTTTTGCTCAAGAGAGAACAAACATGAAATATATGGACAGTTCAGCCTTTCATTTTAAAGCGTACCTTGAACAATCAACTCCCAATTTTTAATGCATACAAAGTGTCCCCAATTCTCATACAAAAACAGACTACCTGGAATTCTCTAGGAAGCCCCAATGACTGGCTTGAAAGCAAAGAGGAAGGGGAAAAAAGAAGGCTGTCCTGCTAAGTTGATGACTTAAACTTCTTTCATGACTTTTATACACTACTAAATTTCTCATAACAAGAAATATACTGAGCAAAACAGACTTAAGATATGGAAATTTTATTCCAATGAAAAAAGAGTCTGTCATTTTCAACTGCTTGGTTATATGCATTAACAGCTCTTTAATATTATCACTATGGTAATAAAGAGCAGCAGCAAGTGCAGGATTAGAAAACAAATTGGACACCACTGCCTGCTGATCATGACTCATGATTAGTGACTCATGCAAGGTATAATCTTTGAATTATTTTCTTTACAATCATCTCCCACAGTACTGGTCAGCGCCCAATACTATTTTCTAATAAAAATAAGATTATTTTAGCAGTGTATTTAAACATCATCCAAAATTTCAATCAGTATGGAGCACTCACAATCCACGGCATTAATCCAATCATGAGATTGATTATTTCTGTATTTTGCACAAAAGCAGTGAAAGATGTTGCAGTAGCACAATCTTGTAGGACCACCCAAAAGATATTTATTAACACTAAAATTTTCTGATTTTCAGTTTAACATCATCAAATCTCTTTATACATACTTAGAGAAATGGAGTCTGAGTCTAATTTTAAAAAGGCAACATGCTATACCCATTAGCATGTGTAGCAAAGGTAGTTTATGCACAGTTCCTACAATGGAAAAAAACCAACCTGACAGTAAGTAATAACAGTGGTCAATTAGCATCCTTCATATGTTTTAAGTGCTACAGGTTTATATATCACTGGTGATGACTAAGAAAGAAGACAACAGTATGGACATCAATAGCTGTTCATGCCACAGCTATTGTACCTCTTACATAAAACAGCATTTTAAATCCCATTTGGCACTCAAGTGATTTTGTAACAGCCTTGCCTGTGGGGTAGCAGACTGTGGGTTCATATAAACACATCGAATGCCAGTACTTCAGTACAAAGAACTGACACACATTATGCAAGAGCAGTACATGTATCCACATGCAGGCACTCACAATCTATGTATTTTTGTGCATGTGGAGGAATCAGAGGCCTTTTGACAGCCTCTGGTAACTGCCTAGGTAAAATTCAGACCTCACAATGTTAATAAAAAATAGTAATAACAGGAACACTAACATCAATACTCCCTGAGTAGATTCTTTGGGAAATTAGTAAGTCTTGAACAAGGATATTTGCCTTTGCCATTTACCACTACCAAGTGTCAATTGTCACTGAACATGAAGACACGTGGCCAAAGTAAGAGATAAGGGCTGTAGGTAGCAACTTTCTAGAATAAAGGGTAGACTTTCTAGAATAGAAAGGGCATTTCTAGAATAAAGGGTATAAGAATTATGACAAACCAGAGAACTAAATCTTAGGAGCTGTATAATCAAACAAGAGACACAGTACGACATAGCAAGTTAAAATACATAAGCAAGGAAAATTCCAGTTCAAAAAATGGTGCTTGAACTATTAACATGAGTCAGGGAAAAAGAAAATGGGGAAAGAAGATGTGGGGTGTGTTTTCAATACATTACAGAAATAAGCATGCTGTTTCATCTGGGGCAGGATGTGACAGATGTGATGTGCAGATATAGATACTGCAAAAAAAACCCATCAACTGACTTTCTGGGTTTGGATGAAGGTATACTGAGATTAAGCATAACAGAAATAAAGAGATTAAATAGACAAAATCCACAAAATAATTCTCAGGGAGAATTTCTCCTCAGGGAGGAGAAAACATTCAAATGGCATAAAAAAAAAATTAGAAAGACACTTTTGTGACACTGCCGAAGGCATCAAGGGCACTTGGTCAAGAAGAACAAGAGAACCTGACTTGAAGAAGACCTTTGGCAGCTGCAATTTCAGTGAGAAGCTCACTGAAAGTGAGCAAAGTGCAAAGACAGGGAAGAAGGGTTAGAAGATGTGAACTGAGGATGATGATGACTCAATTCAGCCCTGTCTGGGTGGCTTACCAATCATTTTAGAAGGCATTTTCCTGTACTAGGGAGCAGTGACCATGACTGGCAGATGCTTCACCAGGTTCCTGCAGTGGTAAATCAATGGAAAGCAAGTGGTGATACGGAAATGGATATACATTATACATATATACATACACACATATACATAATGAAATATGGATATGGAAATACAATTGATGCTATAGCATGAAAGCAGTTGAAAAAGCAAGAGTGATGGATAAACAAAGCATGAAAATAGCCCATCTGTAGGAAAAAAAAAATAGGTTGAAAATGAGTGAAAATAGCAACTGACTATAACCCTGGTCAGTAGGCTGGTGTGTAATTATGGGGAATAAAAAAAAAGGAAAATAAATTCTGGTGTTGGACAAAGAGAAGAGATTCAAAAACGAAAGAACAGCAGTTTAGTCTCACAGTGGAGTCACTAGACCCTGCCTTCAGACACAAGAAAGGTGTACTGAAGGTTACGGTGCCCTCCACCTACCTCATGCACTTATCCATCTCTCTACTTTCCTTCCATGATGCGTGGGTTAGGTTAACTTAAGCACCTTGTCCAACAGGTTCTCCCACTCTAATAATTACCAGATGAAGCAAACTGAGGGCACTCTCTTCTCCAGCTTGCTTTCTCATTGCTGAATGCAAGCAGTGAGCAGATCATAACCATGCTAAGGGATCAGCAGCAGAAAACCTACTGACAAAACATGATGTGCAAGTACAGATACCAAACAAAGCAGGGGAGCTAAGGAGGTTCTGCCTCCCCAACTAGGGGACTGATCCCTCAAGCTTTTCTCAAAATGTCATGGCTCCCAAACTTGCTGAGCCCTGTTCAAACTTTTAGCACATTGTCTCTGGTACCTGCACTGTAGACAAATTAGATGGGATCAACAGTCCCTCCAGTTCAGCACTTTAAAAGCCTTATGACTCCTCTAAAAACAGCCTTTAAAAGTAGCAGGTATTTTAAAGGACAATTTTTTAGCCTCCGTATTACTGTTGATAGAACAAAAGATTTGGGCCTCCTACTTTGTGTATGTCATCATTAGAAACAAAATTTATCTATCCAGAAGCTGAAAGAACAAGAATTAAGAACATGTCCAGATTAACTAACTGAAACGGCATCAACTAATGTATGTAATGGGAAATAAAAATTAACTGGGGGAAAGAAAAATCTTGTAACTGTGTAAGTAAAAAAAAAACCCTTTGTCTGTAGTTTCAAACTGGCTGACCATTTACACCTCATTTCTGTTTTTATCTCTTTTTTTCTTGTTTTTTTCATTGTTCCTAAGCAGCCCAATTCTGGACATAGCAAGCTATAGCTTTCCAAACTATTTGTTCTTTGTTTAGTTTTGTATTTTTTAAGGATCCCTGTAGGCTAGAGTTTAGCTGTGAATTGTCTTTCTATTCCTAAACAATTACATTCTCTTTTAATCACATTTTAATTATTTTGGAGAATAGTAAATGAATCACAGAGGAACATATTTAAGTCCACAGAAAAATAATGGTATTTAAGGATGCAAAACAGCTGACAAAGGAAGCCTTTCCATAAATACAGATGACACCACCTAAAAACATTTGATTTTGGTCCCATGGTGAGTAAAAGATTTTGAGTTTTACAGCAGAGGACAAGAATATGCTATCTTCTGCAAAAAGCACTTGGGCCTTTATTTTTCAATGCTTTGATTCGAAGAGGTGCTCTTCACAGCTGTCATCAAAGAAGCTTTTATAACAGTGACAAAAAACTCTTTTAAGTTCACTGCCCGCTAGGTGTGTTTTAGAGACCTTTAAGAAGAGCAGATGCACAACTTCACAGGAATGGAAATAACCACAACCAACCCATTTGCCTTTCAGTCACCAAATCCTGAACCATAAAATGCATGAATTCTAACTTGACCCGCAAATACTGATACTTTCCCAATGGTTGCCTTGAAAACTACCTTTTGTAGCCAAGAAGTATTCTGAAGAATACAAGAAATATCCACTTAATTCACTGTTTACTATTCTCTCCTTACCACCACCAGCTATAAATGCTTCTCTCGACAGCAATGCCAAAAATGATATACCAAAGTCTGAACTGGCCAAGCAGTCACGATTCTCCTGTTCCCTTGTAACAGCACTGGGAACTAGCAGCACCACTCCAGGACTGCCTGTCACCTGCTTCCTTGGCTCCACACTGAATTTCGGGAAGCAAAGGCAACCGTGCAGGTATCACCTTGGGAAGAATGTGAAGGCTCAAGGGACCGAGGGGTGGAAGCTACTTCTCCAGAAGACATTTCTTGCTGCTAACCTGCGGTGTCAAAAACCACTTTTTTTTTTTTTTTTTACGGCATTACTTATGTTAGATCAACCGTCCAGCCGGGCAGGGCTCAGCGCCGAGCAGGGCCGAAGTGGGCGGTGACCGGCTGTTCTCAAAGCGAGACCCGAGATGTCAGGGCTAAGCAGAAGCACCACCGACCTCTCCAGCACGGGTGACACCAGCTCGCCTCTGCCCCGGGCAGCCCGAGGCCTCGCGGGGATCGGGACGCCCCGNCCCGCAGCCGCCCGCCCGCGCCCCGGGCGCAGCGGTGTCGGGGCAGCCCCGCGCCCGGCAAAAGGGAATTAAAACCTGTTGAGCCCCCGGGTGCTGGGGGCTGACTCGGGGCCCACAAGATACAGCATCTCTAGAGGCGTGACCCCAAGCAGAGAGAACTCTGCCTGAATTAAAGCAATTTTGAAGCAGATGATACTTGTCAGCTCCAGAGTTGCTAAATACCACATAAGCAGGTCGTCATTATTGTCGTTTTCTGCATCTATGGCCTCCATCTCTAAAAACCAAGCCCCGCGTTTCTATCCGAGTCAGGCTAATTAAAGATCCTCGTTTCTCCGCTGGCTCAGGACGAGGTCTCGCCTCAGGTGAGGCTACGGATGGCTGCCGGGAGGATCCAGCCTGGAGCAGCGGGCCCCCGCTTGCAGCAGGCAGGAGGGATGGTAGCTCCCTGTCCACGGCGCCTCAAGGAGAGACTTGCGCTCCAGCTATTTACCTGTCAGCCTAAGTGGGAGCTCTTTCCACCGTCCTGTTCCAGGCCGCTGTGCCTGGCCTCCAAGTACCGCTCACCAGCTCTGGAAGCCGTCCCAAAGTGCTCAGCAAGCCGCAAACTCCCCTGGCATTAAACTGTAATTGTGTAAACTTGAGGCTGGCATAAAATGGCATTGTCACACACACAGCCCTGCTCTCGGTTTTGCCAGCAGCCAGATCAAGGCAAATAAATGTTCCCAATAGAGATAACTTAGTGCTTTGCATATTCAAAGCAATATGTAAATATGAGCCAGTCTTTCTTTCTGTGTCCTTGTTGAGACACATATATAAGATGACTCAGTTTTAAGTATTTGTAGCATGGCTGAAAAATGTATCTGGAGATACATCTTCTCCACCTGTATTAGAGCTGTTTTTCAACCCAACTGTCAATACAAACGTTCCAAAGTTGGCCTAGTTCATTAAAAATTATGATTGAATATGTAGGGAATTTCAATTAATCATTTATGTTGAAAAACAAAAGCTTTTCACGCTGAACAGATATTTTCAACTTTGTATTGTTCAGATAATCGAGAATATGAAATAGTCTAGTCCCAGGCAGTGCTATCTTTATACAATAGAAGGATACATTTCCTTTTTACAACACTCTCTGCAACAAGCAGGCTTATTTTTCCTCTTGGGTTCACAAAGAATTTTTGCGGTAGGATTCAGCCCTGCAGTTGTGTCTGGAAAACCTCAGTAAAGATCTGTGCGAGTGCAGCAGCTCTCACCAGGTCCTGCTCCAAGGGCTTGTCCTCTCTCGGAGCGGAGCGATGCCCAGGCACGTCCCAGCTCGGTCGGAAGCAGAGGAGGGCGAGGGTGGCTGGAAGCTCGTGTTTTTCCAGGTAACACATTGCCACCTAGCAGCGCTCGGTGGAAGTAGCGCAAACCGGACCGGCAGATCCATAAACCAGTTTGCCTCATTTTGGTTTTATTGCCTTGCGTCATATAGGACAGGATGAGAAGACTAGGATGCACGCAGAGTGAAGACTGAGGACGGCAGGAAAATGAACAGATGAGTGAGATCATCTTCGAAAAGAGACATTAAAGCCTGCATACAGGCAGGCTGTAACTTTCAGCAGGATGGTGACTAGTCCCCTGGATGTCTGACTGTTCAATAAGAGACAAAAAGAGAAAAAATGTACAGTCCTGAAAAGTCACATAATCTTGCAAATAATTCCACTGCTTTCAGTAAAATTTTCTCCTTGCATTGCTGAAGCAGTACTGACCTAGGAGAGTCAGGTCACCACCTGAATTATATAGAATGTGCCCATTCCCTGTCACTGACCCAGAAGCTGGTGATGATGTACTGGCTAAAAGAGCAGTGCTTCACTCTTGGTTTCAAGGCTGCCAGACTGAAATATTGAATTCCAATAGATACAGAGCTACGGGTGCTATTTTTACTAACTCCTTTCAGAGCAATGGAACAAATAGATGACAGATCTGGGCTTATATCTCAGGAATTATTGGATACTAACCAACACATAAACTCACAGTCAGTTCATAAAAGGTCCCTTGACTGTAATTTTTAGGAGGCAAATATCATCCGTGTGAAAGCTGTGAAAGTGTGGCAGGTTAAAGGATGGTGTAACATATACTCCAAAGACTAGATCCACATAAAAATGTGGCCACATGCATTCTATTCCTAAATTTTTTAAATATTTCTAAAATTTAGATTTTTGGATCCAAAATTATGATACTCAGTTTCTCCTTACAGCCTCACCCTAGAGGCTTCCAAATCCCATTGGTGCCTGACAGCTGTGATTCATGGGAATGGACAATTTATATCAAGTTGGCTAACAAGACTACTACCCCAGCTGTCTCTCCTGTCCTCACTGCAGATATCTGAAATACCCCAGAGCTGCTGCAGCTTTCTAAATACAGCCCCATGTGCCAAGTTACATTTGGTTTTTGTTAGGCAGGGGCTGCCTGGGTACAGGGCAGTTGCCCTGAGTACCTCAGAACTGCAACTGTATCAGTACTTTCATGTCAGCCCCTCCTCCACTTCATGCATCAAAGTTGCCAGTGTGTTACTTCTCACACAGTATTTGGTGACTGGATGTGCCTGCAAAGGGCTCAGCTCTTCCCAGGTAGCTCTTTCCAGGTAGTTCTCAGGGTACCCACCCTATCACAATGTGTTGATTTTATGTTCTCTGTCCATGCTGTTTAAGGACCTCCTTCTGCAGAGCTGACTCTGAGCTCCAGCAAGGCATGGCTGGAAGATGAGGTAAAGAGACACCTGCCTCTGTAGCACAGCATGGGAATTGTCACCCATGCCCTCTTCTGCCAAAGCAGACCAGCTCATTTCTCTGGGGAAGGTGCTCTGATCAGGAGGCTGTGGTGTATTCTTGGGAAGTTGAGGGAAAGGAGCCCTGTCCCCCTTGCCAAAAACTGCTTCTCTTAACTTAGCATAATGAAATATTCATCAAGCCAGAGAGCAGGAGAGAGGTTCAGCCACAGCTTGGTGCTTGCTTACACTCTCAGTGACCCAGCAAATACTGGGTATTTAAACATTAATAGCTACTTTAGTGTATGACTGTATGGACTTGAAGGTCTTTTCCAACCTAAACCATTCCATGTTTCCGTGCCATGTAAAGCAACTTGAACTTGTAGGGTAAAGTCTGTTCTTGCTCTGCCAAGTCCTCTCTCTGGTTACAGCTAACCATGGGAAGAATGGCGTCAATCCAGCCAAAAGGGCCATCAGATCCCTGCCACATGCTCTCACCTTTCACTTCACCAACACTGTCATGTGATTAGACACTGATTTTCTGATAGAAAATATATACAGTACAAAAACATGCTTGTGTGTGGTGTACCGTCCTACACAAAATAAGATCTGATTTCACAAGACAAAATACCAGCTCACTTCCACTGGGAGGTGGTGGTCCCACACTTCTTCCTTCTCCTTTCTGGGAGTGAGAAACAAGGGTGAGCCAGATGAGCTCACTGAACTGTCAGGAAACTGTTTTAACACAGCAACTAGTTTCTCTTTTGATTCCAGGGCTAAGGAACTGAACCAGCTTGGCTTGCTGCTGGTAGAGCCTGAGGGACACAAAGCAGGGGAAAGAAGATGGAGGAAGCTTGAAGAGGAAGGCCATTCTGTTTTAGCAGCATGGAGTTATTAAATGGGCTCAGCTGCATTATTTGTTCTGACTCTCCCAATGGCACTCAGGGCTTTAACAATTTGGGGAGAGGAAGTGGCTTAGAAATACATGGCCCAGGGCAAAGCTGAGAGGTGTATGAGTGGGTCCCCCTCTTTTGAGGGGGCAGCCAGCCACTGGGATGAACTAATTGTACTGGAAAACTCCACCCTAAATTTCTTTGAAAATCTGTCTTTCTTTCCTTCATTTCCTTTGGTCTCTGTTGCTACTCAGTTCCATAAAACTTTCAGGGAAAAAAAGGCATCTTTTTCTCCAAGAGCATTTGAATCACACTGAAGTAGGCCAGGTGATAATTGCACACCACACTGTAGTGCTGCTTAAATGTCAGATGTTAATTAAAGCCTTTCCTGAAAATGGGGCATTAATTAGGGCAAATGCAGCCATTCTTTATGGATGCTGACTAACCAGTGACAAAAAGCGTTATTTCAACACTGGTATTGAAACTGTTAATTTTTATTTGTCTGAGGTGTGTTTGTTATTGAAAGAAAAGCAACTGAAAAAAATTATAACTCCTTGAACTTATTGTTCTCTCTTTTAAAGACAGTTTTAAATAAATATTCTGGCACAAGAATATTCACGCACACACAGATTGCAATAGGAACATTTCAGTATTAGGTCCAGATGTCTCTAGGAGTTGTATAACCTTGGTAGGAATGCTTAAATGCTGTAGATATTAAATACAGCTCTGACCTGCAAAAACAGCCGGTTGTGGCACTTCACTTGTGTCTTTCTGTTCTTAAGAAAATGGCATCATCTGCATGAATCATGGTACACCAAAATGTTTGCTAAGTCAGGGCCAAAAAGTAAGGCATTTTACTTTGAAACTTTTCTGAACAATTGTGAATTACTGGGAAGAATCATAATATTGATAAAGGATGTAAGTGTTCAAGATTTAAGATATGTATCCAAGCTTTGCAGCTTAACCATCTTGCTTTTTGTCTCTTTGGCCTGGATTCAGCAAAGCAATTAAGCCCCTAAATAGCACCATTGATTTCAGTGACACATAAGCAGTTGGTTGAATCAGGCCCACTCTGTCTGCCAAACTGCATTCCTTCTTGCCTCCCAGTGCATTAGACCTTTTGGAAGAGCAGTTCCGGTTATTATCAGTAGCTGTAACATGAAATCATGGTCTACATTGGCACTTCTTTGCCTCGATACCTCTGCAGAAGATCTACTTATCAGAAACTGTGCAGATCTCTGGCTGAAGATTTCAGTCTTTAGCATTGCTGCATTTCCATCAAGCACATGGCAGAGCACACTGCTGCAGACACAATCCATTACAACATCTTCATCCTCACAGCAGCTACGTCTCTGCAGCTACAGCAAAGATGAACCCTTGATTTGGGATTGACCCTTTCAAGCCTGGCCATTGGAAAGAATCCCCTGTATCTGCCACGCCAGAGAAGCAGCTGTTGTTCATGGAGACCATGAGGTGGTGGGGGCACAAGTCCTGCAGCCATTTCAGGCACTGGAGCATGGGTGAGGGACACGCTGCTAGATTCCCAACTCCAGTTCCTATGGTTGCTGGTCACAGAAACACTAAGCTGATGTTTGTTTTGTTCTATTCATTGTTCTAATGCTCCTTTTCACATGAAGAGATCGTGGTTCCAAGTAAAATGAAAAATGCTGTGATGTGATGTGAGGATTATTTCTAAATGAGAAGAACTGGAATATTTTTAAGTACATCTTTAAGGTAGCATTATCCCATGTTCTCATCTGCCCTTTTGTTTATATTTCATCTTTCCTGATCATCACTATTTTTCACTCATGATATTTTTCCAGTTCACACTTAATAGAAAAAGAAGAAATTGTGAGAATTAAGGTAGCAGGAGGTACAGAGCATTCCTCTTCAAAAGCAGAGATGGTTTTATTTTTCTCAAGTACATGTTACATAAGTGTATCACTTCCACAGCTGAAATATTTCAAAAGATGGATAATGAGGTTGTCAGCTGGGTTGCCTGCTGAATCCTATGACTACGGGTTCACCAGGGCTACTGGACTTTATAAGGGAAAGTTGACCAGCTTCAAGCTCATCTTCTAGTAGCCAACATTAAGTAGAAGCACAAAGCATGTGAAAATACTGCAATGGTAAAAGAGT